AGATACACTGAGGTATCACCTTATTCCAGTAAGAATGGCCATTATCATACAGACAAAACAAAGCAAGCGTTGGTAAGAATGTGAAGGGCCTGGGATTTAGTTCAGTGGTGTCACCAAATGCCTTGCAAGTGCAAGGTCCTGAGTTCTGATCCCAGGTGCCACACACACACACACACACACACACACACACACACACACACATAAAAGAGCTTCCTTTTCCCCACATTCTCTTTCTTTCTTCCTTTCTCCCTCCCTCCCTTCTTGACTCTCTCTCTCTCTCTCTCTCTCTCTCTCTCTCTCTCTCTCTCTCTCTCTCAAGGGATGGAACACAGGACCTTGCGCTTGCTAGGCAGGCATGGCACCAATGAGCTAAATCCCCAGCCCCAAGGAAGATCTTATACACCATTGATGGGAATGCAAATTATTATAGCCATTATTAGAAAACTTGAACTTTCCTCAAAACATTAAAAATAGAATTTCCACATTACCCAGCAGTCCCACTACTACATCTATGTCCAAAGGAAATGAAGCCCGTATGTTGAAGAGATATCTGGACTCCCATGTTTATTGCAGAACTATTTACAGCAGCCAAGAAGGAAATGGAAACACCCTAAGTGTCCATTAACTGGAGAATGAATAAAGGAAAGTGTGATACATATACACAATGAAATATTCTTCATCCATCAAAAAGAAAAAGGTGAAATCCTATATTTGCAACTGTTGTAGTCAAGGTTTGTGAGGGAATAGACTAAATCAGGACACATAATTTACAGGCTTATTTAAATATTCACCAAAACGTCAAATACAGAGGAGTGTGAGAGATCTGTGCAGGCACTAGAGACCTGAAGAATCCAGATGAGGGCCTGGATTCCACGGCACTGGTCCCCACGAGTCCAGCCAGAGGCCCAGAGCCCATGGCAATGTCTCATGCAAGTCCATATCAAGGATCTGCGCTGGGAAGGCCCACAGACCAATGATGGAAGCTAGAAAGTCTGCACCATGGGGTGAAGGATCTGTTTCACCAGGCTGAGGGATCTGCACTGGAGCCAGGAAGTGGTGCTCAAGGCGAAGATCGGAGCTCCCCTGATGAGAACAGCAGCCATCCCCAGCAGCAGCAAGGGCCTGAGCTCCTCTGGCAGGGAGAACAGCCAACTTCGCTTCAGGAAAACCAGCCGCAGCAAGCTCCTCCATGAAAATCAACTGTGCAATCTTCCCCTCCATCTTTTTTTTTTTATGATGTTGGCAACAATCCTCAGGAGGGTCTTCCGTACTGACTCAGTTCTGCTGAGCATTCCAAGTCGACCCTTAGTTAATCCACCACAGCAGCAGTATGGATGGAATTGGGCTGTAAGTATAGCTGTGTGGCACGCACAAGACCCTCAGTTCAGTCCCCAGGCAAATGGATTGAGGTGGGTGGAGATTATGTGAAGAGAAATGAATCAGGCACAGAAAGACAAGTACTGAACGAAATCATGGGGATGTGGAATCTGAAAGAATTAATCTCATAGCCATTGTGAACAGAATGGTGCTTACCAAACACTGGAGGAGTAGGAGGAGAGATGGGAAGATTCATATCAATGGACACTGAGTTACAATGACATAGAAGTAAGAAGTTCTAGTGTGCACAGTAGTGTGTCTACAGATAACAATTATATACCGTATATTTCAAAAGGTGGAGGAAAAGACTTGTTTTCATCATAAAAAATGATAAATATTTAAGGAGGTATGTTTAATCTGATTTAAACATCACATAATGCATACATATATTGAAATATCACATACGATCTCAATATATACTAGTTTTATGTTTTTGTGTATCAATTAAAAATAAATTTACTTTAACAAATTTAGCAGCATTTCCATCATACAATTTTACCACTGTTCACACTTGGTGTTTTGACTTGCCATTGCATTTCTGCTACTTTCTTGAGCTTTGCTTACTTTATACATTGAGCAACAATCATATTATTAAAGATAAATAGGTAATATAATAGGAGGTTAGGCGGGTGTGGTGGCACACTCCTGTAATCCCAGTACTCAGCCAGCTGAGGCAGGAGGATCGCTGTGAGTTCAAGGCGAACCTGGGCTTGCATTTACTAAGCAAGTTCTGTATACCTCACACAATGTTAGAATAGGCAGGACATATAATAAAAAACACTAGTTAATGCTTATATTCAAATTGGGTAGATCAAATTAATACCCATGTGGAGCCATTAAGTGACAATATCTGAGGCACTGAGTATAATCACCAGTGGTCTGAAAAAAAGAAATCGTGTTACTGAAGTGGTTTAGGAAGGGCTTCCTTGACAGAGGAAGAATTTGTTAAGAATATAAATAGACAAAAAAGAGGAGGGAATTCCAGGAGCAATGAATGATCAGCCTACCAGTGACTCATTAAGAGTACTTAACATTATGGTTTTGATTAATTACATTCCCATGTTTTTATTTAACGTGTCCTTCTGTCTCCAGAATTTCCTGTAAAATAGTAAGTAGTTAGATCCAGAATCTTGATTTAATTCAGTTTCAGTTTCATCAGAAGAATACATGTGTAGGTGATTTGTATGTTTTTGATGTATCATAGGCTTATGGGTTACAGAAGCAGAAGGACAAAGTTTTTGAGTGTGGTAATTGTTGAAGTAATTTTTGTTTGGTAGCTGTAGGTTAAGACTGACTAATTATAAAAATTACAGAATGCCAAAAAGGGTCATGACTTATGATTTTGAATTGTTCAATTTCTTTGATTTGTTGTATACTTTTCCTATTATAGCTTCACGTCAAGATTCATCTCCTTCTCCACCTCCACTTCCAGAAAGAACCGTAGAGTCCTTCTTTCTTGCTGATGAAGATTGTAAGTGGTAGTTCATGCTTTCTTTCCAAAAAGTAATAAAAATGAGAATGTTAAAAGGTTAACAAAAGAGCTGGGCATGGTGGCTCACACCTGTAATCTCAGCACTTGGGAGGCTGAGGCAGGAGGATCACTGTGAGTTCGAGACCAGCCTGAGCTCCATAGTGAGTTCCAGATCACTCTCAACTACCATAGTGAGATCCTGTCTCAAAAAAATACATAAATAAATAAAGTTAACAACAAAGACCTAAATGGTGCAAATAATGATTAAATAAGATAAAGTACATTTTCTAAAGCCAAAAATATAAAAGATGCTTTAAAAAGCCAACATAAGCATTATTGAATATATACTACATATAACTCAAAGGTTTAAGAAACTATACACAAAACACCTTTTCTCTTTTCTATTTTTTTTTTTTAAGCTATGCAGACCCAACCAACAGAAACTTATTCAATTAGCTGTCCTGAAACCATGGAAAATTCAACATCTTCAAAACAAACAGTGAAGACTACTGGAAAAGGTTTCACAAGGAGTAAGGTAAAAAAAAAAAAAAAAAAAAGGAAGATTCAGAAAATATGCCAGAAGCTTTCCTTACAGAAGATTTTTTTCTCCCTTCCCAGCATTAAGATAGAAAATTAAATAACTTTACTCAAATGAATTGATTTCTCAACAATCAAAATTAATAAAAAGAAGCCAACCAAATGTGTTGCCGTACACTTACAATCCCAGTTACTTGAGAGCCTGAGGCAGGAGGATGGAAATTTCAAGATCAGCCTGGGCAATTTTAGTGAGACCTTGTCTCAGAATAAAATTAAAAAAGCAAAAAGGATAGGGTGTGGCTGAGGGTTAGAGTACTGCCTAGCATACTGGAGGCCCTGGGTTCAATCTCTTGTGTCACAAACCAACTAACCAACAAAACACACAAAAGAAAACACTACTGCATTATGAATTTATTTCTTCCTAAGGCTGACTTATAAATAAAGCTACCAACTTGTTCATTCCTGGAACTAGACAAATTGAAAGTTAAGTTCATCTGGGGGAGGAAGGGGATCAAGAACAGGCAAAAAATCACGAACAACCAAATAAGCAAGGAAGGAAACAAAGAAATTCAATGAATGGTGGATAGTCTTACCAGATATTAAAACATGCCTTACAGAATAGAATGGCACATCCAGAAACAGGTCCAAAATATTTAAGAATATACTATATAAGATGGGGAGGGGAGGACGGGGTGAAGGGAGGGCAGAGGTAAGGGGAAAAAAATGAGAATCAAGACTTGCCATGTAAAGGTACACGATCCCAACAATGAATGTAACTGTACTGTATCCCTAAATGTACCAATAAACTCAATAAAAAAAAAAAGAATATACTATATAACCCAAATATTCATAAAATCAGGGGATAAGGTCAAATGATTTAATAATTGTTGTTGCATTAGGTAGTTGGACTAGTAGGAGTTATAACTTACTTTTTTTTTTTTTTTTTTTTTTTTTTTTTTTTGAGACAGGATCTTACTGTGTAGCTCAGGCTGACTTTGAACTTGCATCAAACCTCTTGCCTCAGCCTCCCAAGTGCTGAGATTACAGGCAGGCACCACCATGCCTGGCTTATAACTCACTTTTTTACACAAGAATAAATTCTAGATGGCTAAAAGATTCACATGTTAAAACACACACACAGCTGGGGATTTTGCTCAGTGGTGCCGCCACCTGCCTGGCAGGTGCAAGGTCCTGAGTCGATCCCTGGTACCAAAACAAAACAAAAAAAATCAAACACCCCACCACCACACACACAACCTATAGAAGTACTAAAATATCTTGGAAAGAGTCTTTTATAGACCTAAACTATGTGTGGCCTTTATAGTTATAACTAATAATTCAGAAACTGTAAGAAAAAAGACATATTAATTCAACTAAATGAAGCAAAATTTCTGCATAGTGAAAAAAAGTCACCCTAGAAATAAAAGATAGGCATAGTTTTGCATGCCGGTAATTCCAGCATTCTGGGAGGCTGAGACAAAAGGATCATGAGTTTAAACCCAGCTTGGGAAATTTAGCAATTTAGTGACACTGTCTCAAAATTAAAAACTTGCTCAGTATGAAGGCCCCGGGTTCAATCCCTAATACTGGGGGAAAAATGCTAGGTGAGAGCATACACACTCATATGCACATGTGTGTGTGAGTGCATGTGTGTGTGTTTGTGTGTGTGTTTCAGAATTCAGGTTTTCAAAGAAAAAAAAAGACAAAGAATAAAGTGGAGAAAAATATGTGCAATTGCCATCATAGCCTTCAGCGTATTTGTTTAATATGTAAAAACCCTGCCAGAAATTCATAAACAATAACAGCCATAGAATAAAAGCGGGCAAAAAATACATGTGCAGATAGTTCAAAGAAAATAAATGAGCATGGCCTGTCCTTTAAATATTTGATATGCTCAAACACGTTCATAATAACAGAAACACAAATTAAAACCACAGCAACATATCTTTTTTCATTTATCAGAATGGCAAATTCCAAAAGTGTGACTGCACTCTCTGTTATAGCTACGGGGGGATAAGCACATGCCTATTGAGTGTGTGTGTGTGTGTGTGTGTGTGTGTGTGTGTGTATGGGGGGAGTCACTGAGGACTGAACCCATAGCCTTTGCACTGAGCTGCATCCACATCCCTGTCTTTACTTTTTATTTTGAGACAGGGTCTTATTGAGTCACTCTTATGGTTTATGTCTAGATGTCCCCCTACAGCCTCACGCAGTCTTAGATGGGGCTTTTTCAGAGGTGGCTAAGTCTAGAGTGTGATGCTGAGATCAGGGTGTGTGATTGCTAATTCAGTCCACCTGTTGGCCTGGCACCACCCTAGTCCTGGTAGCCTGGGTGCAGTGTAAGGGTCAGAAAGAGGCTTGTCACTTCACTTGTTGTTTTCACTACCATGTGGGTGCCATGAACTGTTTCTCCTCTATGATGCTCCTCTGCTGCCTGCCACATTTCCTTGGAGCCAGAGGATTATGGACTGAAACCTCTACAAACTGTGAGCTAAATACACCCATTCCCCTTTAACTTTGGGTGTTGGGTACTTTGTCCCAGCAACGAGAGAAAAATAACTAACACAGTTACTAAGCCTCCCAGAGGACCGGGATTACAGGTCTGCACTATGATGTCTAGCCTGCACGTGCCTACTTTGTTGGGAATTGTTAAGTGGTACAGTAAACTTCTATTTTTTTTTCTGTTTTTTTCTTAAGTGATACAACTTCTAAGGAGGGCAATTTAGCAATATCAAAATTACAAATGAAAGGAAAAAACCGAATGCATATATCCTTTGACCTAACAATTTCACTTCTAGGAATTATATATATATATATATAAAATCTTTGTACACACATGGAGTTACATGTATGCCAGATATTCATCACAGCATTATTTATAAGAGCAGATGATGAGGAAACAGCATGAATGTTAATTATTAGAGCAACTGATAAATAAACTGTAGCATATGCATACACAAAATGGAATACTGTGCAGCTAAAAAAATTAAAACTCAATAGGGAAATGTGTTCTATATGTGTATTAACTTACATATTCATAAATAAATCTGGAAGGATATAAGAAACAAAGATACATTTGTGGGAAGGTTAGAAACTGCACAGAATGGCAGCACAGTGTGTGTGTGTGTGTGTGTGTGTGTGTGTGTGTGTGTGTGTTTCAGGATACTGCTATTTTGCCCAGGCTGACTTCAAACTTACAATCCTCTTGCCCCAGCCTCCTGAGTAGCTAGGACTACAGGCATGCACCACTACATCCAGAGGTGATGAGAATATCTTTACTAAGATTTTTCAATTGTGAATACAAATTTTCTAAAAATCTAAAAATTTTAGAGAAAAGAATTTCTCAAATATTATGCAGAATATCATATTTCTGTTAGGTATTAGAGAAATAGGTATATCATAAAAAGTATCTACCTGTTCTTGAAAAGAGTATACATCCTTAACCTGTTAGAACAGAGCACCTATATGAGGTCCATATGAAAATTCTCAAGAAGAGTAAAGTAACCATGAAATAGATTAGAAACACACAGGCTGAGGCAGTGTGAAGTAGAAAAGAAATATGATAGGTTACTGGAAGAGGTAGGGAGGAGATGCCACCATGAAGAAGGCTGAGGACATGGGTTTGCTGAAAGGTTCCAAGAAGTGAGTCTAACAGAAAATTGAATACAGATTATGACTGGCAAATTTTCCTGGCTAGAATGGGAATGACTATGTATCGCAGCTATGTTCAGAAGCCATTGTGGGTTCTGGAATGTTTCTAATAAAGGAGCGAAGTAGGAACTTCATTTTCACTCCTGACACTCTGGTGGCATTATTTTAAATATGTACTGTGATACTTATACAGGTGGGAAAAATACCTAGATTAAAATCAAATGGAGATTTTGTACTGAATTAAAAATGGCAAGATGGAAAAATAATTGTGCATTTTCATGGCTATTTTTAAGGAAATCAATTCTTTTGACATATTTCTGTTTAATTGAAGTGTTTCGAATTTTACAGAAAAAACTAATTTTTCCTTTTCTCCATTTTTGTAGAGTTTGAAAATTTTACGAAACATGAAGAAGAGTAAGTTTCTTTGTGCTATTTCAAAATCCACATACATCATTCTTGCATAATTTTCCTTATATAGTCAGCCAGCCTGTGCAAATATTAATAATTATCATTCCTAAGCAGATCTTCCATGGATCAGAACAGTTACCCTGTGCTGGGCTCCACAGTACAAGTGTTGATCCAGAACTACGGGGGTGGAAGTTTCTTTGTTTATAGACAGAAAATAATTAGTACAATGTTTGGTACTTTCTACCAATCTTAAGATGCTGTCATACAAGTATGCTATTTATATTTCCCAACAGTCTAACCTCAAAAGTATTTTTTTAAATAGTCATAGCAAAGCATATTGTGAAACAAATGTGTTGATTGAATGAAATAAGCCAAGCATTGACACATTTCATTTTCAAGCATTATTAGCAGTACAAGTCTGTTGCTTACTATTTTTGCTGTATTGTTATGGAAATAAAACCCATCGACTCTTGAAACTTTGGGGAATTCACTTAGAAATGCTTATTTACAAATGCAAAGTGTAGAAAACATATGCCTCTTACAGATTTGACCATTTGGTTAATGGTGGAGAACTAAATAGTCGATACTGTACTGATATTAAGGGGAGGGGCAAAAGAGCACCAAGAAAGCTTGCAGTCTAAATAAGAAGGTTGATAGCAGTGTAACTTTATTCTTCTAGGTTTGTACTCTTTCCCCATCCAGAAATCCCACATTCTCGATAGTTTGTTATTGCTGTCATTAGACTCGACTTTTGAGACGATTTGATTTCTCACTCATGATGGCTAAAGTATGGTTGGAAAATGTATTCTTTTCCTTAAAGACAGGCAAATGAAAACTTAAACAATTCAAAAGGAAATCATGGTAGGAAACAGGTGAAATTAAATAATCTTTAAAAGCAAAGAAGTGACTTGAATGGTCAGCCAAAGATTGATTTGATCAGCTCAGCTCATAAAATACTCAATTTTCTTTCTCTACCTTCTATCCCAGTGCTGTCTCAGGATAGCAAACAAGAAACATAAACTTCAAGTATAATTATGTTAGCTCAGCTTCTGGATGTGATGGGACTCCGAGTCAGTCTTCTTTCTAAGGTGATTCTTATTTCTAGGTGATTTCCTGGGTCTAGGCTGGGTTGCATTTCCATTTCTCAGCTATCCTGGTTCTGTGACCTTTTGTTCTTAAGGAAAGTATAATAGTTCTCCAAATTGATGCTGAAGTTTTAGACTTATCCATCATATGTGTCCTTTGCCACTTGCTGACAGTTCGTGAATCCAGATTCTGTTATGCCCTCCCTGTCGTCTGGATCTCTTACTGGTCTGTGGTTAAACTTTTAATGAAATAACCATTTTCATCTGTTATTCTAAGCTAGCATCCAAGGCTACTGTTATTCACTTATTTATTCAATGAATAGCTGTTGAGTACCTATAAGCATTGTACAAAGTATTCAGTATATTACGGTAAATAGAATAAATATCAGATCTCAGACTTTTGTGGAACTTAAGTCTAGTGAGGGATCCAGAAATTTAAAAAGTATATTTGGGCCAGGAGTGATGGTGCACACCTGTAATCCCAGCACTTGGGAGGCTGAAGAGGGAGAGTCATCACAAGTTTGAGGGAGGCTTGGGCTACCTACGTATGTTGAGTTCAAGGCCAGCCTGAACTACATAGTGAGATCTTGTCTCACAAAACAAAACAAAAGTAAATTTAGACATTAAACAAGTAAATACATACATAAAACCACATTGTGACAAATGCTATGAAGGAAAACAAAAAGCAACTCTAAGAGAATAACAAAGGCAGTCCTCTTTACAATGGGTGGCATGGGAGGCCCCTTCTAAGGAAGTGAGACAGGAAAGAGAAGTCAGCCAAGCAAGGAATGAGGAAAGATCAATCAGTTCAGGTATGGAAAAAACACATTACAAAAATCTTTTATTATTATCAATTTTTATGGCACCAGGGATCAAACTCAGGACCTTGAGCTTGTGAGGCAGGTGCAGCACCACTGAGCTAAATCCCTGGCCCCAACAAAATCTGTGAGGTGTGAAAGGTTTGTATGTTGTAGTGATCAAAGTAAGTCATAGCTTCAGAGTAGTAAAGAGGAGAGATAAGAAAGCTGAGGCTGGGAAGATGGGGGAGAAATAGGTTCATACGGCACTTATTAAGTAGAGTTTAGCCTCAGTGGAATGGGGAATCTGAGAAAGAGTTTTAGGCAGAGATGTTACATACACAGTTTCATTTTTAAAAAAAAAGACCATTCTGGCTGCTGTATAGAGAATGGACCATGGGTGACAAAAGTGGAAGCTGTAAACTGGGGTGCTCCATGCCAACTTTAGGAGGGAGACGTTACTCAGGAATCTTTCTGTTGCAAGTGACGGAGAACTCACACAAAAGGAAGTAGGAAAGAGGAGTTGATTGGCTTGTAATGAAGAGTTCAAATTATGCAATCAGGAATTAATCTCTCATTCTTTACCTCTTAGCTTTGCTTCATTCTGCATCAGCTTACTCATAGGCAAGCTTTCCCCAGGTGGATTCAGGCTTATATGGGGGCGGGGAGCTTTTTCCTAATGGATCAAACAACAGTCTTGAGGACTAGGGCAAATCGGCGATTGTCTTGGCTCAACTCATTCAGCCATTCTCAACCAGCTCTTACCAATGTATTCAATGTTTTGATTGGGTAGAATAGTATCATACCTAAATTTAACAGTTGTTACCATGGGGACACTGATTTATCAGGAGCAAGGTCAGACACTCACACATCTGGTATGACCACACCAATGGGCCAGTGATGAAACAATGAAAGTAATCCCTAATTATCAGTCATTTCATTGACCTAAAAGTAGAATCTGTTCTACCAGAAGTGTTGAAATTGAAAATTGGGGAGAGATAGAAAGGAAAATTCCAGGTCTATCATCAGGAGAAGAGAGAATACACCTTGGCAAAAACACAACCTGTCTAACACAGGGCTTGCCCAGGCAGTGTGGACTATTGCGTCCCAGTTTTCTTTACCTGCAGTGCTGTTCCACTCTAGATAGGATCTTGCAATGTTGCCCTGTCTGGCCCGAAACTCCTGGGCTCACAGAATTCTCCTGCCTCTGCCTCCCAAGTAGCTGGGACTACAGATCAACTTGGAAAGAATGAACACCTTAAAAAACAGTCTTCTGAAATTCCATCATAGTGGCTCAAGAGGGAACAGCATTCATCGGTCACTCTGAGGCACTCACCAGCAGGGGTAGGAGGTACACCTCGCAGCCAGAAAAAAACAAGTGGAAACTCAACATGGAGACTTACCCATAATCCAGGGTACATCACAAAGACATAGCCATTTGGCAGAAAAGATCCCTGCATGGCAGCAGAAGAGATTCGCTTCCCGTCTGAGCTGATAGAGCCCTGGGCCGCTCTCCAGACTGCCTGGAGATGGTGTGTGAATAGCAGACTCAGCGACTGTGTGGAACCTTGGGCTCCCTCACTCCCGCCTTATATGCCCAGCTGCCTATGAGTATAGACAGCCGTGGATGAGTGCTAATTATTGTTTTACTTTCTGTAGTGATTTGGATCAACCTGTCAGGTTCTCCCTCACCAAGGGGTGCTTTCAGTGTTGGATTACAGTGAGTCCACTAATTAGGCTGCACACCAATCTCCATAAATCCTCTCACATTTCCCACATTTATTTTTTTCTTTCTTCTTTCTTTCTTTCTGACTTTACACACAACCCTCTAAACCTCTCTCTTTCCGCTTCTTTCTGGTCATAAAAATAATATAAAAACCTATTTTTGTCTTTTTCTTTTTTTTTCTCTCCTAATTCCCAGTCTATCCTTCATCATTACTAGTCCCTCATCTTCCTGGGTTAATGAAACTTTTAAAATAAGTCTTATATTATGTGTTGATATATGATTGGCTCTTTGGATAGTAATTTTACCAGGAATGTTCTCTGCTGATAATGCAGTGATTTTAGACTGTTCCTAGTATTCTGAATTGGTTGAATACGTGCTTGTGCACTGAATAATGGGGAAATCCACTTACTAAAGACATCTCTAGCTGGGCAAGGTGGCGCATGCCTATAATCCCAACACTCAGGAGCCTGAGACAGGAGGATTGCCACGAGTTCCAGGCCAGCCTGGGCTACATAGTGAGTTCAACACCAACCTGAACTATAAAGTGAGACCCGGTCTAAAGACATCTCTGGTATAGAGGTAGAGTTTTCTGTACCAACTGACCTATAAATACACACTAACCACAAGAAAACAAGGCGATAAGATATCCAATTAATAATTCCCCCAAAGCTGATCTCACTTCATAATACAGTGCTAGAGATTGAATTTAGTACACTGATGGGGATGAAGTTCCAGACAAAGAACTAAAAAAACTAATAGTTAAAATGATTGAAGAGATCAAAGAAAATACAATGACTGAATTAAAGAAGACAATGCAGGATATAAAAAACCTCTTTAGTAAAGAATTACAGGTAACAAAAAGAAATCAAGCAGAAATCTTGGAAATGCAAAATGCAATAAAAAGTTTTGGTGGCAGGCAAGATCAATCAGAAGATAGAATATTAGGACTTGAGGACAAAGTTGATACAGGACATTTACTCAATAATAATGAAGAAACAACCAAAAGATGATGCAAGAGCTCCTAGAATCTAGATGGATCTAAAAAAAACTTAAGGATTGTTGGACTTACAAAAGGAGTAGAGGCAAAGATTAATGGTATAAAACTTTTATTCACCAAAATTGTGGCAGGAGATATCCTAAATCTAGGGAATGGGATAGATACCCAGATAAAGAAGGCACTTAGCAACCCAAATAGACACAACCAAAAAAAAAAAATTTTTTTTTTTAGATGACACATCATAGTCAAAAATCTCAGAAACTCAGAGCAATGAATGAATACTAAAAGCTATGAGAAAAAGTGTCAAATTACCGGTAAGAGCAAACTCACCAGAATAACAGCAGGCTTCTCAACACAAACCTTAAAAGCCAGGAAAGTTTGGAATGAAGGTTTTCCAGCCC